TGTACTGTTGGCTTCCCTACTTTTGAGATTTGGGGACTCAGATTGACTTCCTTGCTCCTCAGCTTGCAGATAGCCTATTGTGGGACTTCACCTTGTGATTGTCTGAGTCAATACCCCTTAATAAACTCTCCATCACACATACAGCTGTCTTATTAGTTCTGTACCTCTAGAGAACCCTGATTAATACAGTAAATTGGTACCAGGATTAGGGTGCTGCTGTAAAGATACCCAAAAATGTGGAGGCAACTTTGGAACTAACAGGCGGAGGTTGAAACAGTTTGGAGGGCTCTAAAGAAGATAGGAAAATGTGGGAAAGTTTGGAGCTTCCTAGAGACTTGGAGGGCTCAGAAGACATGAAAATGTGGGAAAGTTTGGAACTTCCTAGAGTCTTGTTAAATGGCTTTGACCAAAATGTTGATAGTGGTATGGACAACAAAGTCCAGGCTGAGGTGGTCTCGGATGGAGGTGAGGAACTTAGAAATGGATCCAGGGTGACTCTTGTTATGCTTTTGCAAAGAGACTGGTGGCATTTTTTCCCTGCCCTACAGATCTGTGGAACTTTAAACTTGAGAGAGATGATTTAAGGTATCTGGCAGAAGAAATTTCTAAGCAGCAAAGCATTGGAAAGGTGACAGAGTATAAAAGTTTAGAAAATTTGCAGCCTGACCATGCAGTAGAAAAGAAAAACCCATCTTCTGGGGAGAAATTCAAGCCAGCTGCAGAAATTTGCATAAATAACGAGGAGCCAAATGTTAATCACCAAGACAACAGGGAAAATGTCTCCAGGGTGTATGAGAGACTTTTGTGGCAGCCCCTCCCATCACAGGCCAGGAGGCCTAGGAGGAAAAATGCTTTCATGGACTGGGTCCAAGACCCCCTCTTCAGTGTGCAGCCTCTGGACATGGTGCCCTGCATACCAGCTGTTTCAGCTCTAGCCATGGTTAAAAGGGGCCAAGGTACAGCTCAGGCCATTGCTTCAGAGGGTACAAGCCCCAAGCCTTGACAGCTTCCATGTGGTGTTGGTCCTGTGGTTGCAAAGAAGACAAGAATTGAGATTTGGGAACCTCCTCCTAGATGTATGGAAATGCCTGAATGTCCAGGCAGAGGTGTGCTGCAGGGACAGAGTCCTCATGGAGAACCTCTGCTCAGGCAGTGCAGAAGGGAAGTGTGGGGTTAGACCCCCCACACAGAGTTCCTAATGGGGCACTGCCTAGTGGAGCTGTGAGAAGAGGACCACCATCCTCCAGACCCCAGACCCCTCTAGACTGGTAGATCCACTTACAGCTTGCACTGTGCACCTGGAAAAGCCGCAGAAACTCAATGCCAGCCATTAAAGCAGCCAGGAGGAGAGCTGTACCTGCAGAGCCACAGTTGAGGGGCTTCCCAAGGCAGTAGGAGGCCACTTCTTGCAACAGCGTAACCTGGATGTGAGACATGGAGTCGAAGGAGATCATTTTGGAACTTTAAGGTTTAATGACTACCCTATTCGATTTTGGACTTGCATGGGGCCTGTAACGCCTTTGTTTAGGCCAATTTCTCCCTTTTGGAATGAGTGTATTTACCCAATTCCTTCACCCCTATTGTATCTACAAAGTAACTAACTTGCTTTTGATTTTACAGGCTCATAGGCAGAAGGAACTTGCCTTGTCTTAAATGAGACTTTGGATTGTGACTTCTGAGTTAATGCTGAAAGGAGTTAAGACTTTGGGGAACTGTTGGGAAGGCATGATTGGTTTAGAAACGTGAGGACATGAGATTTGGGGGGTCCAGGTGCGAAATATGTTTGGGTGTGTCCCCACCCAAATCTCATCTTGAATTGTAGCTCCCATAATCCCCATGTGTCATGGGAGAGACCTGGTGGGAGTTAATTGAATCATGGGGGTGGATTTTCCCATGCTATTCTCATGACAGAGAATAAGTTTCACGAGATCTGATGGTTTTATAATGGGTAGTTCCCCTGCGCACATTCTCTTGCCTACTGCCATGTATGATATGCCTTTGTTACTCCTTTGCCTTCTATCACGATTGTGAGGCCTCCCCAGCCATGTGGAACTGTGAGTGCATTAAACCTCTTATCTTTATAAATTACCCAGTCTCAGATACGTCCTTATAACAGTGTGAGAACAGGCTAATACAGCAAGTGTCTACTACATAAATCCTCAAGAGACCTTCAACTCCAGTCAGGCTAGATTCCATATTCTGTGGACCCCAAGGACATGTTGCTTCTCTTCTCTTCTAAGTCTTTGTGCTTGAGGTTGCCTGGAAAGAAATGCACCTGGATTAGAGAAGATAGTTTTAGCATCTGGGTCAGAGTTGAATTCAGAGCTTTGGGTATGTAAGGACAGGTAGATATATGAGTGGGGGCATGGTAGAGGTTGTGTGAAAATTCCCTCCTGGAGGTCATTACCAACCCCAAACGAGCTTTTCCAGATGCTCATCCTTCATCTCTGGGATTAGCAGAGAAAAAGGACAATAAATCCCCATTATTCCAATTGTCAGAGCTGGGTGAGCAGTCAGGGCAGCAGCTGCCAGGCCCATGGCCAGGTGGCCACAGAGCAGCTATCCCCTGCCTCTCTACAGAAGCCTCGCTACTTGCAGAGGTAGACAACTGTCCCAGCTCTCAGGAGCTGTAGGCTGAGTGAGGCATATGCCATCAGGACCAAAAGGAGCAGGCTCATCTAGCTGGGCACTACGTCAAGATCTGCCATGATGTCAGTACTTGAGAACCTTAGATGGTGTTTGGCAGGCCCACAGAACTGGACTTGTTCACGGACTTGCATTCTGGGGTGGGGGCAGGCATTGAACACATGGCTGCAAGTGTGCTGAGTGGTAGAAGGAGAAACTGCTATGGGGTTCTGACAGTGGGGGCCAGCCTCCTCTGGGGCTGAGAAATGCCTCTCTGGTGATGTGAGTTTTAAGCTGATATTGAAGTATTAGTAAGAGGTAGGTAGGCTACTGATTTGGCTTTTCCCCAGCTGGTTCTTACTCCTTCCCAGGGGTGCAGTTTGGAAAGGGGAGATGGAGGTTGGAAAGCAGATGTGGAGAGAAACGTTGGGCTCAGAACTTCCGGGACACCTTCCTGCCCGAAGGGGCAGCCAGGGCTACCTGACTCCCTTTGGTTGAGTTTTTCACTCCCTCGCAAATATGAAAGAACTTACACTTGTGTCACAACCCTAGCCTGGCCTTGCTTCAGCCTTTCTCAGGTCAATTCCTGAGATACAACCCACTTCAGACTTTGAACCTTCATTCTCTGAATGGTGGGAGCTGTTCTTCAAGAGCGCTTTCCCAACGCTCCCTCTCCTATTGACTCTCCTGCTTGGATAACTGCCTAAACACTTCAACACTAAGACTTTCCTTTATTCAGTGATTCATTTTTTAAAAAATTAATTAGCTATTTCTTGACGCCCTACTATGTGTCAGGCACTCGACCTCTGACTTGTCTCTACCTTGTTTCATGAGTCCATCACTCATTATATTATATTGATTATAATAGTCTAATGATAGGCCCTCAGCTTGTCTATCAGTCAATGGCCACTCAGGAGATAGGAACTATCCCAGGCGTTTGAACGGAGAGAATGTAATACAAAAAAATTTTAACTAGGTGTAAATTCATTAACTAGGTATCTGAAAAAGTAAAAGAGGACACTAAGGTGTTACAGAGGTAGTAGCTACTACAGAAAACATCCACTGTCCCTTGGGCTGGAGGAAAAAAGGTTGGGATTATTAAAATGCAGGAAGTTGGAGGAGGGGCCCTGTTGGGCTGGAGCTCAGACCTCTGAGAGGGAGATGCTGATCGGCTAGTACTGGTGTCTCTGAGCTCAACACAGGAGAGGTCCCATGGGGCTGGTTTCAGACCACTGAGAAGAGGGTGCCTGCCAGCTGGTGCTGGTATTTTGGTGGTGAGTGGTGGAATGCATACCACTGGTTCTGCAAGTGTTGGAAAAAAACATACTGAGTTCAGCTGCTGCTTTAGGAAGGAACTACCTCTGCCAAGATGAAGCAGCACCACTGGGGTGAAGCTTCCAGGAACAAAAGCAGGCAGGAAGCCACCAGGAAGCGAGCTGGAAGTCCTTTTTCTCTCCAGCCTTGCAACCTTCCCCTAGTGCCCCCTATTAGCAGAACCTAACGTTAACCCAGCTGGCAAGAAAATAGGATTGGCAGCACCAGCAGGCCAAAGCTACACAGAGAAGGGTTGGTTTAAAATGGAAAGACAGTAACTTAATGAACACATATAGGACAGGTGACCCTTCATTTACCATACTTCCTTGGTGCCCGGAACAGTGATGGCTAGAGTGTGTTATTGGAAATACCTTGGATTTGGAGTAAATGGACCCATTTCTACCGCTTAATTTCAGTGTGACTTACTGGTCAAGTCATCAATATCTCTGAGCCTTCATTTTCTCATCTGTAAAATGGCGAAAATAACCCCTGACCTACATACCTACCAACCTACCTATCTTGGATGCAAGCAAGAAATCAGTGTAATAAAGCAAGTATGAGAACTTTACACCTTGTATCCTGCCTCTCAAATGCAGCACAATGAATCAGTACTCAATATAATACTCTTCCCCATGGAAGAAAATGTCAGTCTATTTAGGGTTTTGAACATCCTCTTAAAGAACATATCCCCTTGGAGACTTCAAGGTTCTTCTTATAAGCAAGAAAGGCACAAACCAGGCTGCATGTCAGGGAAACTTTCCTGACAATGTGAACATTGTATGAAAGAAAACAAGCCATTTCTTCTCAGAAATGAGGTTCTATTGCATAAGACATCTCAAACAGACTCAGACAAAACACTCGCAGCTACGTGGCAGAGCTGGGGGTAAGTTAGAGGGAATCAGGCGGCCCTTGTCCTTGGGGATGAACAGTCAGCACTGGTGAAGCTCTTTCCCACGTCTAATTTTGAGGCACATTTTACAGCTCCAGTGGCACTGTGTGGGTGTTGGAGACATTGCCTCTTCTCATCTTAATGATGTTTTGCTTTAACAGAGACATTTTGCTTCTTGGAGCTCTGCTTGCTTCTTCAAGGTAATAAGCCTCCCGGGATGCCCTGGGTGGGATTGGGAGCTTGCTTCCAGCTTTAGGCATATTGGCTGCCATGGAGCAGTGAGCAAAAACGGGGAGGGTCCTAAATCTACAGGATCATGTGTGGCCCAGTTTGACTGCTCCCACACATACTGATGGGTGACTGGGCCACAGATACCACACTTCTGAGTGTGGTACCACACATCCAAGCCACCACCCACAATACTCCCCTCATTCAGGAAGCTGGCCTCTTCCTTGTTCAACGCTGCTTGTTGAAATTTCCCCAGATCTTACCAACATTCCGCTGCACACAACACACTCCTCCCCATCTCAGGGCCAGGGCACAGTTTTGCCTGGCCTTGTATTGACCGCTACTGCATCCCACCTCCACAGACGCTGAGTAGGCAATGGTGTCAGATAAGCTGGGATTCCAACCTGTCTCATTCTTGGTTGTTAACTTTGGACAGTTTTTTAAACTTCTGTCCCTTTGTTTCCTCAAAAGAAGAAATGGATGTCGGCAGGCTTAGTTCAGGTTCCCTTCTCTAATTCGCTCCTATGGTCCTGCCTAAATACTCATCAAAGCAATGTGCTCCAAAACTCATCCCTACCCTATGTGGCCTAAAGAATGTGCTATGGAACTCCATTGCCCAGCAAATTAAATTTAAATTCCAAAGTCTCACATTCAGAGCTCTCTATCATCTTAATCTATAGTTTCTATTCTTGCTCCTTCCTCTTAATATACTTATTTACCCCAACCAACATGGGCTAGTTTGTAATCCCCAGCATTGAATGACACATTCTCCCATCCAAGCCACCACCCACAATACTCCCCTCATTCAGGAAGCTGGCCTCTTCCTTGTTCAACCCTGCTTGTTGAAATTTCCCCAGATCTTACCAACCTGAAAGCACTTCATCCTTCTTTGAGATGTTTTATTTTTTAGCAGGGTTTATACACTACATTGATTTGTATGATTTTTTTTTAACTACAGCCGAAGGAGAGCAAGCAACCAAGTAGACACAATAGACCAGGATTTGAATCTGGTCTATTGTGATATGTATATTCAGTACTTTACTGAAAAGATTATAGATAATGTATATAAAATTATGATCACAGTATCTAATAAAGGGTAGTGATTATTATCACACAGTATTAGGTACATATTACACACTCAGTGAAAATCTATTGGATTGATTTAAGTACCTGACATAGGGTTTGAAGCAATAATATTGGATGTAAAAGTTATAAATTGGTATTTTTAAGAATTGGATTTGTTTCAGATTTTAAAGCAACATGTACTCATTGTAGAAAATGTATAACATGTGTGCATGTGTATATAAAAAGGTAGGAGAAGTGTCGCTTATAATCTCACAACTCAGTGGTAATTACTCTTAACACATTATGTGTTTTTTTTCAATTTTAAATGCATTGTATGTAGATGATCTCATACAAATATATAGTTTTGTTTCTAATGTTTGTATATGTCATAAATAAAGGTTAGAAACCTACTGTTTAAACTATTATAAAATAATATGTGATAGTCATTTTAAATACAAAAAATATTAAACCATTTAATTAAAATACTCAAATCTAGCCTACTATACATATTTGGGGGTATTTTCTTCCAACCTTTTATAATTGCATTTTTGCTTATTTCAGGAATCATGATTAGAGTAAAAGCATTTTCCTATGCTATAAAACAATTTTCTGACATCGTTTTTGATGGTTACATAATATTTTACCCTACATAATTTGTTTAATCCTACCTTTATTTCTACATAGTTAGGATGTTTTTTTACTTTTTCCCATTATCAATACATCTTCATCTGAATTTTAAATGTTTTCCTTAGGATAGGGAGTGCAATTTTATCAGCAATTTTTTAAAAGCCCGAATTGTAATGACTTAGAGTAAGTATGTTATCTCACATGACTAAAAGTGCAAATGAGGCTGTATTTGGATGAGTTAGTTCAGTGACTTGATGATATCATCAAGGACCCAGGCATCTTCCATCATTTTGCTCCTGTTTTCTTTAGTGCATGATGTGAATAGACATCATAACAAATTATTTACATATATTAGCTTCTTTCATCTTCACAGCATCCCTAAGAAGTGGGATCCTATTATTATTCTCATGGTAAGAATAAGGAAACAAGCTCAGCAAAGTACCTTGCCTAGGATCCCATGGCACAGCATGTAAGAGATTGTAAGAGATGGACCTGCTGAGGTTCCAGACATCATATCCTCACTCCATCACCCAGAAGGAGGGAAGGATCTAACTCTTCCTCTGTCTCTTCCCCACCTTTTTGATTTGATAAATTTCTAAGCTACGCAAAATTTGGAAGCATATTAGAATGAGCATCTGTATTCCCTTCTCTTCACTCATTGCTCACCATTTGCTATGTTTGCTTCCTTTCCTCTCTCTCATTCTCTTTCTCTCTCCCAGTTGAAAGTGATTTGAAGGTATCATGGGGTCTATGTCTCTTTTTCAAAACTTTTAAAATTGAAATATGATATACTTGCACAAAGTGCGTTTATTATATGTATGCAGTTTAATAGAATTCCACAAATTGATCACACCTGTGTAACCAGTGCTCCCCTCCTCTGAAATGTATAAAGGGTGATATTGAAAAGAAAAAAGTTCTTTCGGTAAGAAAGAAAAGAGGAAGAGGCCAGGCAGGGTGGCTCACACCTGCAATCCCAACAATTTAGGAGGCCAAGACAGGTGGATAACTGAAGGTCAGGCGTTCAAGACCAGCCTGGCCAACATGGTGAAACCCCGTCTCTACTAAAAAAAACAGATATATACAAAAATTAGCCAGGCATGGTGGCACGTGCCTGTTGTCCCAGCTACTCGGGAAGCTGAGGCAGGAGAATCCCTTGAACCCAGAAGGTGGAGGTTGCAGTGAGCCGAGATGGCGCCACTGCACTCCAGCCTGGGTGACAGAGTGAGATTCTATCTAAAAAAAAAAAAGAAAGAAAGAAAAAAGAGGGAAGAATAGGTGTAGCATATTGGCACCCACAGTGTCTGCTGCTGCATCATCTCAGTGACCGTGCTTTCTTTCTTAAGCTGAAAACGGAAATTGGCCACAGAGCATAAAGGAATGAGGACCATGGTAATACAGCACAGGAAGGCACAGTTTCCAGGTCACCATGGACTTTGGAGTCAGAGATTCCTGGATTGAAATCTCAGTTCTACCTTTTATATGCCTTATGATCTTAAGCAAGATATTCGTTCTCACAGAGCCTCATTTTCTTCATCTGTACAATGGAAATAATAACAGGGCCTACCGCTGAGGGCCACTGTGAAGGTGGAAGGAGTTAGTATTTGTAAATCATTTACTATGTTACCCAATTTATAGTGTGCACTCTAGAAATGATACCTGTTGTTATTATTATTACTAATCATAATAATAATCTTGCCAAATATATGTTATTACTATTCTTGTTTACAATAGAGAAAATGGATGGCCTGAGAGATAAAGAGATTAATTGAGTAATAAGTAACAGAGCCAGGATTCACAATCAGGTTTTTCTGGCTCTAAACTTGTTACCTCCCAATGAATAGATCGGGCCTGGACAAATGGGGGACTAAATCATACCCCTGAAGATCAATTTGTTAACTGACAGTTTTATAATAAGAGATGTAATTGCTAAGCAGCCATTGAGCTGGTGCCAGCAGGCCAGCACTTGCTTCTTCCCAAAAAGAAAGTGCAAAAGGCAAGAGGAATGGTGCTAAAATGGCTGGAGCTGCCTTCAGGACCACCCAGCACCCCAGCCCTTGCAGATTCTCCAGACAGCACTGGACCCAGATGAGGGGACCTAGGGTCTCATCAGGACTTTTCTTCTGACCTTTCAGGTGACTGTCATTGGTCCCTTCCTCTCTGCGAACTTCGGCCTCCACATGGCCAAGGCAGTGGGCATGGGGAGTTCTGGTGGAGGTGATGTCTGTGGACCTGGCTTGCTTCAGCAAGCTGGGACTCCAGGTCCCCACTCATTGCTGCCGCAACTCCCAACCCCACCTTCCCTTCAGTATTCAGAAGGGGGATTCGTCATTTGGGTTTTTTATAACTCACTTCTCTATTGCTTTATTACTTTTCCAGTGACAGGCAGCAGAATAGACTTTGTCTCGATATTGGCTGAGGGAACGTGGTCTGCATTTATTACAAAATCTGATTTCATTTTGGTTTTACTTCTTTTTGTGTATGGGGGAGGAGGCCTGATCCTCCTGTAGGTCAGCTCCAGCTGGAGGAGTGGGCCAAATTACCCGGCAGCTTCTGGGTCTGCACTGAGAGTGGGCAGGCCCTCCCTGGTAATCAACTCTAGAGGTGCTTGGGCTGAGAGGGAAATTGAAGTTACCAGGAAGGCCACGCAGCAAGAGTGCCTGATTGGAGACAATGGCCCTGAAGGGTCTTCCTAATACACCCTCTGAGGTAGCTGCTTCTGACTATGGTTCAGCCTCTTAGAGCCCTCTGCCTCTGGCAGCCTCAGGACTGTTCTTCTCCAAGACCCAGGCCTTGCAGGAGGCACAGTCAGACTTAGCTTGAGTCTTGATTCAGCCACCCACCAAGGATCAGGATCTGGGGTTGGCCACACTAGAATTCAAAAGTGGACACTCTGATTTTGAGGCACATCTCTAGGCTCTCAGAGTTTTCATTTCTCACTGGGAATTGTAGACAGTAACTTCTGTCTTGGAGAATAATAAAATAGTAATTAATCCTCACTAAGCCTTTGCTAGGTGCCAGGCACTGTGCTAAGTGCTTTCTGTGACTATCTCTTCCATTTTGTACAACCATTTGATAAGATTGGTACCAAACATGACCCCACATTTATAGATGAGGAAACAGAGGATCATACATGCCAAGAACTTTGCATATCTGTCCAATTAGGCTGGCAAGCAGGCCTAGGGAATTTGAGGGAGGACATGATGCATGGTTTGTAAAACTGGACCTAATGTGTATTTTTAAATAATCCTCATTCATTCTTTTGATTCCTTGGAATAAAATA